TCTCTCTCTCTCTCTCTCTCTCTCTCTCTCTCTCTCTCTCTCTCTCTCTCTCTCTCTCTCTCTCTCTCTCTCTCTCTCTCTCTCTCTCTCTCTCTCTCTCTCTCTCTCTCTCTCTCTCTCTCTCTCTCTCTCTCTCTCTCTCTCTCTCTCTCTCTCTCTCTCTCTCTCTCTCTCTCTCTCTCTCTCTCTCTCTCTCTCTCTCTCTCTCTCTCTCTCTCTCTCTCTCTCTCTCTCTCTCTCTCTCTCTCTCTCTCTCTCTCTCTCTCTCTCTCTCTCTCTCTCTCTCTCTCTCTCTCTCTCTCTCTCTCTCTCTCTCTCTCTCTCTCTCTCTCTCTCTCTCTCTCTCTCTCTCTCTCTCTCTCTCTCTCTCTCTCTCTCTCTCTCTCTCTCTCTCTCTCTCTCTCTCTCTCTCTCTCTCTCTCTCTCTCTCTCTCTCTCTCTCTCTCTCTCTCTCTCTCTCTCTCTCTCTCTAATGAATCCAATTCATTAATAACATATTTATTTTCTTACCATCATGTGACAATTGTGTATAATTATGTTTGTCTGTATTACGGGAGAAGTCAATTGATAAGTTGGAAAAACTTACCGACTAATCCCTTTGTCAATATGTTGTCAATAAAATATGTTTAAACTAATGAAAACTGCAGTGACGACATATTATAGCATACAAAGCATTATTTAACCGAAATATGTACTTTTAGGTCATTTTCTATTTTTAAGTACAATGCCAGAGAAACGTTCGTCCACTTCGCGTGAAAGACTATCATATCCAGCCAAAACTGATGTTCTAGATAGATAACTTACAGTAGATAAATCATCTCAAAATGGGTAAAAACGGGAACGTTTTCCACCAATTTTTATTTTTTATTTTTTTTTATTTCTGTTATGAAAAACCAAAAGATGTCACACGACTAAACTATAGGAGGACATGTGGATTGTTCCACACCAATCATCTACATGTACATTGCAAAATGTATCTAGTCTAATATCGGGGCAAGGGGGAAATCGCGCTAGTTATATTCAGTAATTTCATATGGATGTCCCACAGGAGACTTGCATACGTGGAAATGGGGGAAATACTTGATTCCACATATTTTCTCTATTTATTTAAAACTCACATAATTATTCAAAATTTGGATATTCCTAATAATGAGAAAAGCATTAATTTGTATTTTTTATTTCTTTTTCATTTAAATTTGATACCTGTACCCGTATATCTCCGGTTAATCAATCCGTATCAAGGTAAACACTATGTGAAGAAATGGTCACTTACGATAAAGCGCACGTTAAGTCTTTTGTTTAGGAAATACGAACCACTGGAGATGTGTAGTACATTTATACATCACAATGCTAAATCATAGGTTTCCGGCACGCTAATTTGTAAGACGATATTTAGACTACAGAATATGATACACCATTTCAATCTAACAGGTCATACGGCGGTAATGTCATTCACAGGGTCACCAGAACCAAACCCAACACGATACATCATGTGTTTAATGGGAATAGTCTCGATTAAAACAAGGGAACTCAACAATTTGTCTTTTAGATGTGAAATACATAGTTTAATAGTCAGGACACACGCGAAACGAAAACGTACCAGAGTTCCGCTCATTGAACACCAATGAGATCATGTTTCTGTGCTCATAAAATTTGCAGAATAAAACAGCATGTCGAAAAATTACCTTGTTCATCGTGGTAAAATATTCTGTCCTGAACCTATACTCTGGTTCGACAAAGGCTTTTTATGTACAAATGTACGTTGTTTATGATTCCTCTTATCCAACATATATTTTAAACAGAGAAATGTATTCGCTCTGTCCTACCAGCAATATTTGAGTACTTTACAGAAGTTTTCTTTGTTTAAAATCAGGAAATAGAGTAAGTGCACAGTTTTATAACACATCTGGGCGTCACCGTAACAACTGGTGTCTCTCAAATCCAATCACGATCGAGACTATACAACTGAACCCAATCGTGTCGGTTTCGATTGTGAAAATTTGCAACAAATTACCTCAATCGGACCTGTCAGCCCACTTCCTTACAATTATTTTATCTTTATATGTTTGTACCTAAAACGTTAAGGACTAGGTCGCAACAAACCGAACCGGAAGTTGTAATCTGATCTTGTGGAGGGATCGAAGATGGCTAGATTTCGAAGTACTTCGAACAAATCGAAATAAATACTATCAGAAAATCTCATTTCATGCGTTCAATTATTCCCAGTTTTAAATTGTCGAAAAGGCTGAGAATCCACAATAGGTCCTGGTCAAGGAGTACTAATTAAACTTTAACTCTCTTGTCAAGAAGAATCATGAATAGACAATAATATATATATAAACTGGAAATTAGCTCAAAACTGACACAGTATGATTTTAAAATTATACTATATATGTATACGAGTTGCCTCCCATGGCTCTGCTAAGAAGTGTACAAGTAGAGAAATACACCAAATGACTCGTCTGATACCGTTACACATATTTTATTACCCGAAATCAGCTTTGTACAATAACTCACAAACATTTCACATACGAGTCCGTTAACTCTGTAAAAGTAACACGAGCATTGTCTTCTCGTATAGTTCGTCACTGATGTACAGCTCCACACGGTGTTCCTACAATGTACGTCTGTGAATATCTCCCAAACAACGTCTGTGAATATCTCCCCCACAATGTCTGGCTGTGGGAGTTGGATCACTGACATATCCGTGTCCGATATCAGAAAAACGTTTACATCAGGGGAAGTCCGCCTTTTGTCTAGACAACTCTGTCTCTCGGCTAGCTCTGACTGTGGAAAACAAAGCAAAAACATGTTATTTTGTATATTATTTAAAAAAAGAAATATGAAACAATATCTGTTAAAACCATCCTTAAAAATAGACGAGATCGGGAAGTTAAATAAAAGGGTTTAGGTTGTGGTGCGCTACCGTATTATATATATAGAATCTTACATGAGTTTCCATTTCATATGAGATTTATGAAACGAGTCTAAGAATTTTTCAATTAAGAGAACTAAAATGGCGAGCTAAAATGAAAAAAATCGTGACGAGTTTCATAAATTTGATATGAAATGGAAACGAGTTTAAGATCCGTTTTATCACATAACCAAGATTTGTGGCATCTATTCGTGTAAAACGACAATTTCATGCAACCTTGAAATGTAAATAGCCGCCATTTTGACTCCAGTGCGCAAGTCTGTAACGTCATTTACTTGTCCTAGCGTGACGTCACAATTGAAACAATTGAAACTCACAACCAATCACAGGGATGATAGGTCATATTACATGGGTTAATACGCAAAAAATATGACATGGGTATATTTACTGGATAACACAGTACATTATGTAATAAATATAGGATCTTAAATGGGGTTTTCATTTCATATGAGATTTTATGAAGCGAGTCTTAGGAGTTTTTATTTTTGCGAGCCATGGCGAGCAAAAATTTAAACTTCAAGACGAGTTTCATAAAAGCTCATATGAAATGAAAACAATTTTAAGATAATTTTTTATCACATAACTCAGAAAACTTACATTTTGACAGGTTTTAAAAACAAAATGTAGAGGGCTTAATCAAACGGAGAAAGCCATTTTGTTGCACCATTCACAATTTATGACGTCACGTCATTGTCCATATCATGACGTTACAATCGATTTCTGACTGGCACAACCAATGAAGACGCTCCAGGGTATATAACACTAGTGACATATGTAAAAATATTGCACGGGCGAATTCACTGGATAACGGGCCGATCATGTGATAAATGAATATTTGTTTGAAACACATGATTTACGAGGAGAAATACATTTTAACGTCAATCCACAATGTACAAGGTTCTGACAACATACACGCATTGTATTAAATGTCTGCCTTATAAGTCACGACGCCATTCTATGAACATTTAAAACTGGTTAAAACGACCGAAATTTCGAAGTTGTCATTTTTTCACATGTAATTTAATATTTTGTAAAAACCGTGTTTTAAACAAAAATTACAGCGTTTCGTATTCGTCTGTTGGTTGGTAGCGCACTACAATCACAGCGGCAGCGGTCACAATGAAAAAGCATTTATCAATGAAATATTTATTTTAAAAAAGATTGAGAAATTTCTTGGTGCCGGGCACCGTATCTGCAAATAAGAAACATAGATGTGTATGTTTATTAATATCTAGCAACCAAATGCATGCTTATTCCTATATTCTTTCTCTTCTTATTTTTCAAAACGATATTTTTCAAATGATGCTGTTATAAATGTAAAAAATGTTGATAACTAGTAAACTAGCTAATCGCAACCATTTGATTTAATACCGAGTTCGAAAATGTGAAAAGTTGCACTGAAGTAGACGGAATGTCTTTATTGGCAAGTACAACTCTCCCACACCACACCATGAATGTCCCTCATACCCAATAAAACGATAAACGCATTAAGTCTTCTTCCCCACTAGTGTGAAAGAAAGGAGCATTTTAGATCAGAGAAAGGTTTACTGTTAGGTGTTTTATTGGTGGCGTGTTTGATAAAATCTTTAAAGAATACAAATACAAAAGACTAACGGAAAACCATTTATTTTCGCTGGTTCGCTAATATATAGAGCAGAGATGTAAAGGAGCAAGCTTGTAGTCCCTGTCTAGAACCTATCATCCTTCATTAGTCGTTTTCTCACACCATCACACAACCGGATAGCATCTATTATACTCCCCCTCCCGTAGGGCGAGTAACAAGGCGAACTCAATCATTTTATGACCCCCAATTAAACGATCATTTCATCATTCCGGAATCAGGAGGCCTGACGTCCCGTGGGGCGGAAGGTTAGATAGATGGATTCACTTAAGTGATTGAGACAGTCACAGAATAGTGTGAGGGGAACCATTAGCGTGAAATCACTAATTAATCGCCACTTGTGCACGCGTGATTGGGAATCGCCGGAAGTTCTGAGGGAGACATCTGTTATCGACTAACAAGACGATCTAAGGATCATACGTTAATTAAGTCTATTTATCATAGCAATTAACCATACAGATTTTAATCAACATTTAACTTCTGAAATAAAGACTAAATAATCGACGTTTAGCAACGGGATTAATCCGATTTGCACTTACAGATGTTGTATAACGATTTCGGCAAAAGATAAACATTGAATTTTTATGAACGTAATTCCTTATCTTCCGTTTCTCTTTACTCTTACGTATTCAAGCATTATGGCAGTTATACAGAATTCCAACAGTTAAATTATCAGTTATAAAACTTTACTTTATATCATAGAACTTAAATTTCATCGTTTTCACTTTTTAAGTCAACTATCAAATTAATTTGAAAAAATGCGAAATGTCGAAATGAGTGTATTTAAAACAAATTTGTGTCGATTTGCAGAATGTGTCATTGTTATTGCACATGTAATTAATGACATGGGCGGGGTTTATTTATTAACACATGTTAAATGGCGTTGTCTTTGCCCACGGAATTGCTATCTAATGACAACGTGTAAAAAAACCGTTCTGTGGTCACTGCCTACAAACAATTTTTAATATCAGAAATTCTTGGTAAATAACAAATTCCTAGATATGAATAATTAATACAGGATTGTTTAAACAATCAGGTTTTAGGTACTTGTATTTTAATGATTAATGCATTTTTTAGGTTGGGTCTGATGTGTCTAACAAGTACATTTATATGTTATTATGTTTATGATCTTATGTAATGATTTCTGTTACGTCACGATAAAATAACGAACGGAAACTAACAATTTTACGAAATTTACATTAACTTATATAACAAATCTAGGTACTAATACAATTAACACAACATATATATATATATCACTACATTTTACATATTACTTAAAACAGAACATTGTATCTAAATGAAATAATATACTGAAATATTGATAAGTGATTATAGTAAGTGAATATCAGTGATCAGAAAGCCACCTTATCTACCTTCAAGTGTTCTTATTGTTTGTACAGTAGCTTGTTTACGACTGGAAGACATGCACTTATCAACACGCGGGTCTTGTTTACTAGTAATAAGTTCTAAAAAACTAAGAAGCCGTGACAATTTAAACCGATTGTTAACTCGATTGAACATTCTTATATTAAGTTTTTCAAGATTTTCTAAGATCTAATTAAAAAAAAAATCTTGGAAATTCGGGGAGCATGGATTCATTTTCACAAATACCATTTGCAAAGTTGAACTAAACAGACCGAACACGCACTATTACTTTTGGAATTTATATATTATACATAACATATATGTATGGGCAAAGAAGAAATAACGACAGTGCAGACAAAGACATTTTGTAAAATTTCAAGGACGATCTGCTCCTTTATCAAGACAGGAACATGAAAATTTACATATCACAACATAATATACATATATTGTACATATACATGAATGCTTATATGTATACAAGATGTTTTATAAATGATAATCACACTGATTCATCACTTTCTTTATAAGACATCTTATATTAATACGTTGATGAAATACCTTAAAAAGGACGAAATTTTATTTTAAAACTAATGAACCCTTACCAAATACATTTCGGAAAATTAAACTCAGAGCAAGTCGTAAGATTTCAGGCGGTGACGATTTACGCTTGTTTATTGAAGACTTTTAGATTCAATATTTGTAAGGTAAGTATTGGTCGACATATCTAAACGCGTATACTAGAGTACATTGTGTAACTATTTATAAATCTTCGGTTGCAGTTAAGCTTCAGCAAATATCTAACGTTCAGTCCCTGACAATCTCGTTATCGTACATGAAATAACCTATACAAATGTATAATTTCTTTATGAGATATCCTATAAATCACATCGTGTACAAGATACCTTTAGAATAGTCCCATTCGAGTTGTTTTATAAAAGTTAAACGACATTTTATATATTATAAGATATACATTATATTTTTGTTATTAGATACCTTCTAATACAATAAAACGATATCTTATACATTATACAAAATATCTCACAAATTAGCGCAAGATATTTTATATGGTATGTAATATATCTGATTGTTATATCTTATATAAGTCTATAAAATACTGGATCGACAATGCTCCTTGAACATTAATGCTAAATTTGCTTGCCATACGCCTAGGGAGTTTGCGTTCAAAATCTCCAAAAAAATAAGAAATCATTAATTACGGTAAATATCTATAAAAAAAGATAACTATACTGAGTAAATTGTCGTTATATGTAATGGCCATGGCACGGTTGCTCTAAGCCTGGTTATCTTCAACACTTATTAACGTTTTCCAAATGAGTGTTTTGAGAACTATGTGAAAATCTGCAAATACGTTTCGTGTTTGTTGTCATTAAATGATAATTAAAAATCTTTAACCAAAGCAAAAATTGTTTTTAATTTCAGTCTTTTTGACAGTAAATTAGCTTAAACGTTTACGTTTAATTAAACTTTAGCGTATCACGCTTGTTCCACAGCTAGATAACGACAACAACGACGATGACAACAGTAACAACAACCCAATGGTGACAGAACGACGGTGAAACTCGTTTATATGTATGTTGAACATATTACGTCTTTGCGTATTGCAGAGTTATCTTCTCTTGGGAGCAGGTTTTGATTGTTACGTCATTGGTTTGTGTGAGAAAATTACGTCGTTTTCTCAAAAATTGATAACGTTACTCTCACAAACAAACGACGTAACTATCAATACTTGCTCTTAAGAGCAGATAACTCTGTAATACGAAAAGACGGAATAGGCAGTTGGTGACGAGTGGTGATGAAGAGGGGAAAGCAGACGAATGATCCGGAAAATAAGTAAAAGAATTTAGGAGCGAAATATGCATAGTGAGGAGAGAGTTTACGGGCTGCCAACTGTTTACATACATTGCGTATATGGTAATTGTTTTGGAATACAAACCATCATCAACATAATAACGTGACAAATTTACTATGTAGTGTGCTTGTTTACAAGCTTTTTTTCAAATACATCTAATGAAATAATTTGTCATTTGAAAATTTGAAAAAAAATCGCTGCATAAATTATATTTAAATATTTACTAAAACCACCACAATAAATAACTACATGACACAAAATGTCTTACCTAGTCAGTGTCCGGTGTACCTTCAGCGTCCGGCGTACCCAGTCCGGTCCTTGTGTTGATTAAGTGGGGTGTCGTCTGGGGGAAGTGGATAAACGCCTTCTATGGAGAAACAGCAGTCATTGGAAAACCGCTCTCTCCCTCCATCGTCATCCGGCTCCGTCACCTCTTCGCTCCCGGCACTCAGAAAACTTGTATTTAGTTCATTAGCATTACGTCCGTCACCGAAAGGAGAAGGATACACAGACGAACGGACAAGTCTCTTAGCAACACTGGACAGACGATGTGATCCTCCGTCCGACCTGTGAGACGGGTGTTTGCCTTGGATAGGTGTGAATCTCGGTGTAGCGGAAGCCGGGGTCACGTTTGGTGTTGGGTAGTTTGGCGTTTCGTAGCATAATGGCAGCGGCATCATACAGGTAGCCGGAGATTGTAGACCTTCTGTATTCCAGTACGGAGAACTGGGAAAATAGGCAGAATACATGGCGGGGTGAGTGTACAGAGTTTCCACGGCGTCATTTGTGCCTGGAGTCGGAAAGGGAAGCGGGGTACACGTCCCGAGAGCAGCTAGGTAGGCTTCATTAGGTCCGGGAACCCTCGGGGTACCGATAGGAAACTGTTCACGTTTTACAGGTGTTGGGGCTGACTTCAACATTGATTCCAAGGCTCGAATGTACCCAATAGCTATGCGTAATGTCCGGATCTTTGACAGTTTCTTGTTGTACAGTTTGAATTCGTCGGGTAAACTGTCTTTGAGTTGCTGCAGTGCTGAGCTCATCCTCTGCATACGATGGCGTTCCTGAATATTGGCCGTCCTTCTCTTGGTCTCCTCACTCACTTCACACAGTTGGCGAGAAATCCGGACATCACACACCTTCCTCCGCTTGTATCGTCCATCAGTGTTCCGTGCCGTCTTAGTTTCCTGTGAATCTGAGCTTGGTTCCTCTTTCACAGAGACACACTCCATCGTTAGGTCAATAGGTCCATCATCGTCACTTTCATCGGATAAGTCGGTATAACTTCTGTCTAGTGCTTCCTCCTTACTTTCAATGTCCTTTTGGACATCCCGACTTCCACGGTCCATCTCCAGTTTGGAAATTTTTATAAAGTTTCAATTTTCTCTCAATGCTACACAGTGATGCTGCTTCACTATCTGCTCAAGATGATCAAGTGGCCGAGATTGGCCAAAATCTGGGGATGTAGTGACCAGCCCCCGTCTATTGTTTTGTGTGAGGTAATTCTAAAGCCATAAATTTAGAGCAGTCAGTTCCCGTCTCGTTCCCGCGGTCCCCCTCGCGGTCGGGGGGTCTGATCCGCGCTCTAGCAGACCGTTGCATTACGGCTCAAATGTGAGTTTAATTAGCGATGTTCATCAGTCGCATCCCAATGTTAAAACGTAGTAATTTTAACCCCCGAACTTCTCTCCTACGTACGTAGTTATTAGTCAATTAAAGTGAAAATAATACATTTCACACCGATTTACACACATTACGGGGCTCAGGCAAGGTGGACCTGCTCAGTTATTTGACTTTGGCGATGTTTAATTTTTATGATAAGGGCTACACTTACCATTAATTATCCTTTGCGCGTTTCCAATCTCAGATCGTTTCATTAGGTTGGACATCTTTGACTGAAAATAACGACTTGCAAAATAGCACGAAGAAACTTTTTATTATAACAATTAAAATATTGGAAACATTTTTTTTTTTTTTTAAACCAAATTAGTAATTTCATGATTTGCAATTAACAATAGATCGTCTTTTATACACGCCTACCACATGAGGTTTACATGGAAAATGAACAGATTTATGGACAGCTAGTACAAATCGTAATTTTGACAAGGAATGACAGAAATCAACGCATGATCAATAACATGTTACTGTAGGTTTTAAATCAACTGCAAAAATATATAGGATTAACCTCGATATGAAAGCATGAATTGGCTTTGATATGAATGAAAAGAAATGGAAAATAATACAAATATGTAAGATTAAAATCGGTGATTGTTATCGAACAAACCAATATATAACAAGTCAAAATAGAAACAAATGAAATTATGAACAAATTATCTTGATTGTTTTATTAATTACTTATCTTGCCAAGTCGTCACAAGAAATACCAGGAAGAACTGTTGTTAAGTTTCGCGAGTATAATGTGTAATTTTAAAACTATAATTGAATCACGTTCCCCCTGTAGCATCGAAACAAATGATTTTCTGATAATTGTAAAAAGAGGAATCTAAATTAGAGCTTAAGAAATTGAAAATTGTTTCTGAAAATTCGAATAATTTACACATAAATATTATTTTAAAACAAGTCAATCAGACGGAAATATTGGAATATTACAACGAGAGTGAAAAGGCAGTGCTACAATGAATTTGAACGTTACGGAAGATGGAAACGAGGTCGTTTTGGGGGCGTGGGGCTTGGGAAATAGAACATAATTCATATTTTTCTCTACATGTTGAAAATGGACACCGTTGAAAAGTTAACCAAATGGATATGCATAAGTTAGATAACAAGTGATAGTCTCCATTGCTTAAGTATTATTACTATCCCCCACCACAGAAAATGGACTGTTTAAGGCGTTCTTGACGGATCGTTTACTCAAATATCATCTCTAGATTAACCTTGACCTTAAGTTGTATACGTTTTGTTTCAAGACTGACCTGAAGAACAAGATGGCTGCCAGGCGTCCATATTTGATTTCATGACAGTCAAATATTTTTTCGAAAGGTACTGAAGGGATCTCTTTCGAATAAAAAAATAAGAAGGATCTCGTTATTATTATTTTTAGCTTGATAGGGAAACTGATGATCACCAAGCAGACATCTTGCATTTGACAATGAAGTTTGTTATCGCTATTTTTTCAGAGAGTAGAATATTATTAAGAAAATTGGACATGGAAAGATGTCATCATTTTCTGGGTCCATTTTCATCGTTGCGTATGGAATGGGGACGCTTTCAAAGTTGGATATAAAATGATGTCATAATGTTCCGGATTTCATTTTCAGAAGAAAAATACCGGAACTTAAGAAAATAAGGTGTGTTAATAATTACTAATGTACTCTACTTGTTAACATAATTATATATACAAATGTAGAGTATCTCCCTCGTTGTACGTATTGCCAGACACATTTATTCCCTCTTTGCGTATTGCAGAGTTTATTGATTGTTACGTCATTGGTCTGTGTGAGAAAATTACGTCGTTTTCTCAATCAATACCTGCTCCCAAGAGAAGATAACTCTGCAATACGCAAAGACGGAATAACGTCAAAACTTCGCAATTATATATACATCCGTACGTACAAGTAAAGGCATATAATGTTGGTTCCTCGTACACGTGTGTATGTGGTAAACACATTTGTTCACCATTGTTTAAGGGATCTCGTGTGATATCATAGGTTGACGGATCAGAGGAAAATTCCCTGTGTGAAAACAAGCAAGACTATTCAGTCACTATATTTTTATGCACCTCACCAGCTTTAATCAAATTTGTTGAAATAACACAACTACTTAATAATCTTCAAAATACTAGCTACTTTATCAATAGAAAGTTTCCTTTTCTTCTCTTAATCATGATATTATTTATTGCTCACACTTTTTTGCATCAAGTCAAAATTATTTTATAGCAATTTGTTTAGACCGCTTTTTAAAATTACAAAGTTCAAAAGTTCAAAGTTCAAAGTATTTTATTTCATGTCAAACACATAATATTCATAAAATCACACTACATACAAAAATGTATCAACATTTTATCATAAGACGTGTCCAGCCAAAATGACTAATTAGACACGTTAAGAGAACAATCGCACTGTTTATGAAATATTTAAAAACTATCACAATTCAATTAACTCAGTTCCGACATGTAATGTCATAAACCAGTATTTATAAAAGACTTAACACATTTTCAAAATGGCCGCCGAATTGGTAATTTTTTTTAAATTCTTGTAAAAAAAGTTCTACAAACAACAGGCATCTAGTTTTTTGACATATTTTTTCAGATGCGTGTTTGCTAATAAACTTTATCATAATTTGTTAAATATTACAAAACCCCGTTACACCAGATCAAAACGAGACTTGAACGTGATTGAAACCTAAGAAGAGTACATCCTTAAAACAATTATGCTCATGATATAAGTGCATGTTACTTGCTAGTAGCTGGACTATATGTTTATTGACATGTTGTCACCGTGTACACCGTAATTACAGACTGAGAGATATTCCGTCTTTGCGTATTGCAGAGTTATCTGCTCTTGTTACATGTAGCAGGTATTGATTGAACCGGCAAATTATATATCCCCCACCCCGTACCTGCACATTTAATAATATACCTACATTTTATGGGAGAAACATGGTTCTCTTCCTCCGCATAAGAGAAAGTTGGGGAAGCTGATATATTTTGAATATCTGGTTCCATACATCACATATCTAAACTGTTCAAAAGTACATATTGATTAGTAATATCAGAATATAATTATAATTAGTGGGTGTTCACCATCATGTCAGTCAGATTTCTACTGTGTGGTGTCCCTTTATTGCTGATACAAATCACAGGTGCTCCAGTTCTGGAATATATGTGATATATTATCGCACCCCTCTAAATATCACACCTCCTTATACTTATAAATCATAAAGAGTATAAAGGAGGTGCGATATCTAGAGAGGTGCTATAATATATCACATATATTCCAGAACCCGAGCTCCTGTGATACGAACTAATTATACTAAACTTTTCTGTTGTAGAGGATGTCATTATGACTTATGTCCGGCTCAATATTTAGACAGTTTTTATAAAAAATATAATTGATAACGGTAGTATGCACATTACGGTGACGTAGCATGATGCATATTATGATGACGTGCTAAGCCTAAATACACAAACATTATTAACGTATACTCCGGTACTCCACGCTGTTGTGTATTGTTTTCGGACTTCTGACCAACATGGCCGAACAAACTACCAACAGTCTAAAGAAAGTTCTCATAGCGATGGACGGCAGTGAAAATGCTGAGTATGCTTTTAATTGTGAGTTGAGAAATTATGTGTACGTGCATTTAGCCTGTAGTAGACGGTTTGTGTTACTCATGTGATTACATGTACAACACATATGTGTGTAAATACCGGCCAGGGGAGCGAGGTTTAAACTACACAGAGTTTAAAGACAGAGACAGGTCTGTGTGTCACTCATACTGATACATTTATACATATGTAGTGTTTTGTCAGGTTTATAAGATCTGTTTTATAATATGACCTATCTAAATATTCGTTTTAAATCGCCCTACATACATCGAACTGTACATTATCTGTCACATCTGCCTTACTTGTAAAGATGACCGTGTAATACTAGTGTAGATAAACCGTCCTACTTGAGTACCACCGTACCGGTGTGGGTGTGTAAAACTCGTGTCTGGTCAGGTTCGTGTTTTATACAGCATGTTAGAGTTGTCTGGGTCAAAATCACATACCACAGGTCTCTGGCTGTGTGGATATTACATTATACATGTAGAAAAAAAACGCATTCCACAGGCGCCTGGGTTTTGATCATCTTCGCTAGCCAAGGGTTACGACCGATATGATGTACCTACTCTTCAGAGTGGAGAGTTGATACTTATCCACTGTTATTTAAACAAAACTTAGCAATAAATGTAACATTAAGGCATTTACGTACTTCGTTTCCATTCCTAAGTACAAGAGAAATCTGATTGTAATAAGACTGTTAAGTTTGATCACTTTTCATAGTGTTACACATGTCGTTATTATTTTCAATACCTCTGCCAGGAGTCGAACCCGTAACCTCTGGCTTACTAGATATAGTCTTGCGGTTTACCGAATGAGCCAAAGAGAAATTCTCTCTAGTCGAGTAGGTTACGGAAGCGGCTAGTATTTCACCAGGGCGACATATTCTCCAAATAAGAACTCGTCCCGTATTTTCCAGGGGTCATAGCAGTTTTTGTGAAAGAATCGTTGAATTTATTTGTTAATGGTAACCGGGTCCCTACGTGGGCGCCATTGTAACAGATGCCATTATTTTTTCAATGACTCCGTCAGGAGTCGAACCTTTGACCTCTGGCTTGCTAGTCAGAGAAATTCTCCCTAGCTGAGTCGGTAGGAAGCGGCTAATATTTTTCTAGGGTGACAATTACATCATGCCTAGTAGTTGATTATTTCGTGTATTTTTCAGTGCTGTATAATACACATTTCACAATTTCAACTTAAAAGCATTGGATTGTTCCAAGAAAAATAATGTATAGACGTTTTCTAGTCTCGTTCAACCAGGCCCTTGTTGTCTGCGCAAGCTCCGCCGGACAAAGAATAACAAGTGATCCAGCGTCTGGTTGAACGAGACTTAGGCGTTTTATGAACAGTAATTCCTTAACACCCTTCGGAACTTGCATTTAATCATCATGTATAATGCAATATTGTCGTAATTTGCCTGATGTTTATAGAACATTCATTGCAGTTCATAATGAAGCTACTCTCCTAAATACGCTAGCTCTGTTTGTATACCCCTCAGTGGTACAAAGTGGCCATGATACAATCTTGGAGTCGCGGAGTTGCTGGCCCTCGAAATGTGGAAGTAGTAGTTACACGCCTGTTACCGCCAAGGTTGTAGCCTCTTCGCTCGTAGATTGAAGATGGTATTGTCCGATAATAGGATTGTTGACTGACTAGTCAGACTTTTCGACCCCCCCCCCCCCCCCCCCCACACACACCGTTCTTAAAATAAAAATATGACGCTAGTGAGGTCAAGTTCGCCATGCACCTAAATTCGCCACCCTGTGAACAAAATGCAATATGACGTCATAATACAAGATAACGTCACCATAGTCTTCAACACAGTTCAAGCATATTTTGACAAGAAGAGGACAAGTTACATTACATTTTGTATTTGCATTTTTCTAATTAAAACAGTTATGAAATATCTTGTAACACAACGAATCTTAAATATTGGGTCTGTGCGACGGACATCTCGTCATCTAAACTCATTAATCTGAGGCCTGGCGCTGACTAAGCCGTCAATGCACGTACATTGTTTTCTTCGTGTGTACTTTGGTACATTGTATACATACAAAAATCAGTACAATGGACTGACGATCCAATGCTGGTTTATGTTCCGCCAGTGTTGTTTAAAGGACGACGCAAATACAAAACGCAGTAAATAAGTTAATAATTTCAGAACAAATAAATGAAATAAAACAATTGTTCTATAGTAAAAATCTAAATATATGGATTGAACGGCGTTTTCGAAATTTTCATGCCGGTATGAACGCAAATCGGTTACATCCATATTAAACATGAAGCCCTTGCAATATAGATGTCGCCGATTTGCGTTCAATTTTTTTTTTTTTTTAATAATAGTACCGGCATGAAAATTTAAAAAATGCCGTTCAATCTCCATTTGTCAGATGTTTAGCGTTGACGTGCAAGACGGTCGAAGATATGCATGTGACAAATTATCTAAAAGGTCGACCATTGAACGTTCATTCTCACTTATTATGCGCGAATACATATGTAAAAATGGAAAATGAACTTTGCATTGCGAACATTTTGTTATATTTTCCCAAAAGAGTAACATGTGTAGGATAATAAACCGAAAGGGGTCTGTTTACTATTCACCAGTTTTGAAAACAGAAGTGTCCATTCCCAACAGGTCATCGTCAGTAAAACAGATAATTGGTCCAGTTCTTCTTCAAAACAAAATGTTTTTCTTCTTCAAATTTACCATGTTCGCGAATCCAAGATAGACTGTGTCATAAAGACAGACATTTCTGCGACAAATGCTGACATGTTTTTCTGATCGTATAATTATGAAAATAGCCATTTCGTCTCGTCTTTAAAGTTGAGCATCATATGTTACCTTGCCAACCAGAAATACAAATCAAATTTTACAGCATCTTCAATCGAAATGGTAAGTTATTTGTACTTATTTTGATTAACTACTATTAATTTGATCTATATTTGAGTAGAAAAAAAATCATGATGGTATGTTGCATTAAAACAAGGATATAATTTGTTTTTGTAACGTATCTGTTTACACAATTTGAACAAGTAACTTTATAACAAACGATTATATATTGAAAACAACTTCACAATAGATCCAGACGTAATCAAACATCAAGGCGGCCTTAACTTATACTGTCAAAAGATTGTACGCTAGCGTACATGTCACTTTTTTTTTGTCACACAATCGTTACTCAAATTCAAAACTTAAACCGATACGTTACCATTCCAACAGATACGTCACATATTATATTGGTCAAGTGTTATACTCATGCTATTTAACGTTATCACTAAAACAAACTTAAAATCGATGTAATCATCACGTGTTATCAAATATATACACCTATCTCAAATGTTCACATAACCAAGTCGATTTTATCTGGGAAAATCATGCACCAAAACAGAAACGTGACCTAAGTGAAAATATACGTTACCTGTTTTCCATTTTCTTTCATAGCTTTTCACTAACTAATTCTTTGATATTAATAATAGTGTAATTTATTTGAACATCTACAATAACGTATACAAATTAACCATCATAATGCATTCATGCCTTTAGATTTCCTAAGACTTGAAAGGTATCCCCCTTGAAAACTGAGCCAGATGATGCAAGTACGGTTTGTAAAAGGTCTAAATACATTGTTCCCATCAAAATCCCCGCGAAACAAAACTCAATCTAGAATCTAAAGTATCATTGTTAGAAGCTACTATTATAGAACCATTTACAACGTATCTGTTTATAACGTATCTGGTCGGCAAAACTGTTTACGTCAGCAAAATCAAATTCACTCGGTAATCACTTTAAATTTTACACATTGTACAACAATGTTAAACTTCAGTTTTATCATGTAAGCTATTAAAAAACTTTCCCACAACAAACGGACAAACCACGAATACCGAGTTTCATGCACGATACTAGATATATGCTTACGGAATGAATGTCGATGGATTTATATGCAATACAAGATACCCTTAGTCAATATACAAATGTACCAAGACACTTTAAACTTGTATTCACCGATAATAAAAGCCTGTCGTATGTGTGTTTTGTTTAGTAACGTATCTGGCAAGACATGCACCGCTTAGATAGTTTTTTTTTTAGTCTGGGAATAATCGTCATAGACTCGGGAGGTGGATACATTTGAAACTTCTCTTAAAATAAGTCAGAAAATGTTACCGTTTAATGCATCATTTGGTTGGGTTCGGTTTGATTTAAATGTTTATAAAACCAAAGACACTAAGGAATTATATGAACCTTTTAGATAGAAGCCGGAGTACTTCCTATCGTCGCATATATACGATTGGCAGGTTATAAAAGCGCCAGATTAACGGAAACTGACGCCATATTGGTCACACAGCATGTTGTGGTATACCAACGCTATGCCAGAGTGCCAAACCAGTAACATACCATGACGGAATATATCTATACCGACACTTGTCAGCGAACTAGAATCCGTGGTGACGGCGCGTGGGAATCATGGCGGACAGAATAGACAAGGCCCTAGTAAAACATTCAGAAACTCAAGGATGTTCGTAGATTTACAATTGCGATTAACTTGAATCAAATGGTGCTCTCATTTAAAAGAACGTTTTAGCATCAGAAACCACTCTGAATCAGTAAGTTACTTGTACCAAATAAATATTATTATTTTATCAAAATGTTGTACATGATTGTGATTTATTTGGGCAAAATCAGAAATTACCTTGAACAAACACAATCGACTAGAAATCGTTTTTTATGTCAAAATTATGAAAAAAATATTAATAACTATCACTATTACGCCGTTTTTTTTGAGGATTTGGTTATTAGTGTGGTATGTATATTGATGACACCCTTGTTTCCTTTGTTGCTACTGTTTTACAGTCATTTCACCTTGCAGGTAGGGCGTAAGAATTGTATCTGCTGCCCCCATTGCATGATCGGAAGAGGCGACTCAATTTGGGATATTATCTTTTCTCTTCTTTCTAAACAACTTTCTTCTCCCTAATGTCTCCCTTGACAATGCCTAACCTTTAGTCTTTAGTTGAGCGTTCGCCCCTGTAAGGAAGGCTTTGGGTTCTGTTCCCTGGCCGAGACATACCAGAGTCTGTAAACGCTCCGGAATTTAGGAGCGGAACGACTGGTTCGCCCGTTGTCAGTATACTGTGACCGGTTGGGGTGTCCTGCTGGGTGTCTTCGGCAGTGTGTTTCAGTGAGGTAGCACTGTAAAGTGGGCATCAGTTCCGCGCTATCACAAGGAGACAAACACGAACATATCGCAGCCTCCCAAAATATACACACACGTATATACTACACGCATGCATCTTGCACACAGGGAAGGGCGTCCTTAAATGACCATAGCTGTTGATAGGACGTTAAACAATACTAAACCAAACTAAACCAAACCTGTTGTCGCCGACTGAAGGGTTGTCCCCTCCTCACCACTCTGGTATGGGATATAGAAGCGTTGTACCTTTGGTGTTACAATTGTATTGACGATGTTTTCTGGATAAAGTCTTTTCGAACACCAAGGAGTTGTCTTCTCCTGGTAAAATTCACGACTGTAAAGATTACCAAGGCGTTATTATTGTAAAGATCACAGGCGCATTATCATCTGTTGTTACGTTGTTGACACTACTAAGGAGTTGTCCCTCGATGAGAAAAACTGTTAGACCTGCCGAGACGATGTCTTTTTGGAGGCCACCTTGCTAAGGCTATCTGTATCCTCCAGTGTGACCTTCGTAAAACTAACAGATATATTGTTTCTGTGACCTTAGAAACCGCATTAGAAATCCTGGAACGCTGTTTTTCTCATGTCTGGTACATTTGTTAGGACTGTAATTGTATCATTCCTTGATGCATTGTCATTGCTAAGATTATTAAGAATTGTTTTACTCTGGTGTTACAGTGTACACCCATTAGAGCCATTTGGGAGCGTTATATCGCTTACCGAGGCGCTGTTTTTTTGTGTGGTATCCTTGTAATGGATAACACAAAGTTAGACTATGTAATAATCATTGCTATAATATTGAAACATTTTTTTAGTCCTTTTAAAATGAAGTATTCCATGAAAGAATTATACTTGTTAGAATTTGAGAGTAGAAATAAGAAAAAGAAAACAGACACCCTTTAGTAATCAAACTCAGGACCTTTACACAATAAAGCCTACAATTTACCAACGTTGTTATCCAGAAATATTGAATTTATGAGTAGGGGAAGTAACTCTAATGAAGGGAAAATCGTTTTCTATATAGAAGGGAGAATACTCTAAGTAGACTATTGCTGATGCAGATGTAACTTGACAGTGTGTGTATAGTTGTTTTGTGTATGGTACCTTTAAATGTACAGTATGGATTATGTTTATGTTTTTTTCATTTGTAACTGTATCATAAAATTCATATCCGTTAGTACATGTGTTTTACTATGATATTTTAAAGATTTCTAAATCATGAATGCTATATTTAACAGGGTATATTGACGTCTGTCACAAGGGAGGTAACTACGTCATCCTTTGCCACGTAGGTGACTACAAGGGCCTCGTCCACACACGTAAGTAGCTATAGTGATGTAGTTGTTCTGTGTGGTTTGTATTGGACTTGAGAATTTATTTATAAAACCTGCTCTGACAAATTTCTATTCCTGTTAAAAAAACCCAGGAAAAAATAGTTGTCTCTTATGACGATATTCATGGGATTAGCAATTAAATAGTTTTTCAGCAAGTTCTCCAGATTTTGTTGTGTTGGTGGTAAAATTTAATCAGATTTATAAACGAATCCTGTTTTAACTTGGCGGTTTAACGCAGTGCCATTAAACCTCGATATCCACTAACTAAGCAGTTATTTACCAGTAGTGTCCTTGATTTTGTGGACCTGTCACAGCTGTGATGTCCCTGATTTTGTGGACATGTCACAGCTGTGATGTCCCTGATTTTGTGGACCTGTCACAGCTGTAATGTCCCTGATTTTGTGGACCTGTCACAGCTGTAATGTCCCTGATTTTGTGGACCTGTCACAGCTGTGATGTCCCTGATTTTGTGGACATGTCACAGCTGTGATGTCCCTGATTTTGTGGACCTGTCACAGCTGTGATGTCCTTGACTTTGTGTTTCTGTCACAGCTGTGATGTCCTTGACTTTGTGTTTCCGTCACAGCTGATAGGTGCAAAATTTTGTGTTCCTGTCATAGCTGTGATGTCCTTGATTTTGTGTTTCCGTTACAGCTGTGATGTGCCTAATTTTGTGTCCTTGACATAGCTGTGATATCCTTGACTTTGTGTTTCCCTTACAGCTGTGATGTGCCTAATTTTGTGTCCTTGACATAGCTGTGATAGCCTTGACTTTGTGTTTCCTTCACAGCTGTGATGTGCCAAATTTTGTGTGCTTGACACAGCTGTGATATCCTTGACTTTGTGTCTCTGTCACAGCTGTGATGTTCCAAATTTTGTGTTCCTGTCACAGCTGTGATGTCCTTGACTTTGTGTTTCCGTTACAGCTGTGATGTGCCTAATTTTGTGTTCTTGACATAGCTGTGATATCCTTGACTTTGTGTTTCCGTCACAGCTGTGATGTACCTAATTTTGTGTTCCTGTCATAGCTGTGATGTCCTTGACTTTGTGTTTCCGTCACAGCTGTGATGTGCCAAATTTTGTGTTCCTGTCACATCTGTGATGTCCTTGACTTTGTGTTTCCGTCACGGCTGTGATGTGCCAAATTTTGTGTTTCTGTCACAGCTGTGATGTCCTTGACTTTGTGTTTCCGTCACAGCTGTGATGTGCCAAATTTTGTGTTCCTGTCACAGCTGTGATGTCCTTGACTTTATGTTTCCGTCACAGCTGTGATGTGCAAAATTTTGTGTTCCTGTCACATCTGTGATGTCCTTGACTTTGTGTTTCCGTCACAGCTGTGATGTGCCAAATTTTGTGTTTCTGTCACAGCTGTAATGTCCTTGACTTTGTGTTTCCATCACAGCTGTGATGTGCCTAATTTTGTGTTCCTGTCATAGCTGTGATGTCCTTGACTTTGTGTTTCTGTCACAGCTGTTATGATCGTAATTTTGTGTTTATGTCACAGCTGTTATGATCGTAATTTTTTGTTTATGTCACAGCTGTTATGATCGTAATTTTGTGTTTCTGTCACAGCTGTTATGATCCTTATTTTGTGTTTCTGTCACAGCTGTGATGTCCCTAGACGCAAACCTTGTACAGAGGATGATCTCAGAGGAGGAGAACAGAATCAAGCTACTAATGGCGAAGTTTTCGGAGATGCTCAAACGGGCTATGGTACGTGGCTGTGTCCCTGTGTCTAACTTAGTAGGCAGGACAATATATTTGACTTCTTTCCTGTATTATGTAGTTGGTAGTAGTACATGTTGTAGCATTTGTTTTAAACTAATTATAAAAAGAATCACAGAAAAAATGAATACACCGTCAATATAGTTATTTTAAGTCGTATTAAGATATCTTCAAAACAGCTTTCTAGAAGCATGCACATATTCAATGACCATTTACCATATCAAACTGGAACTAAATGAGCTGTGGAAGATGAAAGTTGGTGAAATGGCTTTTGTATGTAAGCTTTGAAATACTATCCGTATCAATTGTACTTTTATTTCTATTCAAAACATACCTCTTAAATAAAATAAACACAAAATGCCAGTCTTACTCGTTCAGAAACTGAAACTGACTTGTGACAGGTGGACGGAAAGGTAATCCGGGCTACAGGGGAACCAGGGGAGGCAGTCGTACGCACGGCCAAGGAACAGGATGTGGACTACATCGTCACCGGAAGTCGTGGTCTGGGCACAATTCGACGGACATTCCTGGGGAGCACCAGTGATTACATACTGCACCATTCCCATATCCCAGTGACGATCGTACAGGTCCCAAGTGACAAAAAGTGACATCAGTGAAACAGGGCGTCAATTCCCCCCGACTTTGGTTTTTATACATGTAACGGCAGCGTGTACGAGTGGTGCTTAATTTTAGTGGAGTGTTAACATTGTATGAAAGTGAATGAAATATGCATTAAACATTGAAATATTTACGTTGATTATATGTTCTTTTAAAGAAGAGAACACACTTATCCGTGTGTATTTTAATGAAAATATGTTCAGCCAGTGTGTAATAGTACTGGGTTTCGTGACGATAAATTCATTCGGAAACCTTTTCCAAAATGTTCTAGCTGTTGGTTGTGTAGTAACATATATTTCTACGGTTAAATCATTATTATTGAAGAAGAAAGATATATATGGAAGAAAACATAACGTTATATATACGATTTGTTAGATTTGGTGTGAATGCCGACAAACAGCATTCCAGGAAACCTTGTAACCTTCCATTATAGCTGACTTAGAGACACGTGCAACAATTTAAGCTAATTGAATTTGTCATCATGTTTCTTAAATAATTAAACGACATGAATATGTAAGATTATCTTTCATACATTATATCGGCATTGTACCTCTTAACTCGCACACGTAATGCTGACAACGTAGATTGGCTGAACATTTGACCGCCAAGCTCTGGGGAATCCGTTACACGTGACAGGTAATTTGGGAACATGCGTTATTCATGAGGTCACACGAGCTATGCTATGACTTCACATAATTATCTTGTCGGGTTTGCTTGAAAAAAATGACGCTTTGTGCTAAATAAGTCTGTAGTGGATAGAGACACCGTGATGGTTTGGTCTGAGGTAGTTTATGATTCTCCGTTGGGTTTAATCGGGTGTAGTTTGTGAATCATTGTGTTGTGTTAGTCTGGAGTAGTTTAGGATATTTGTTTGTGTATATCTAAAGTAATCTAAATGTTGACAGAGTTATATACGAGCACATGTTAGTCAATTAGAAGATTTTACTTCGACTTATCGCGGAGTGTAGCGATTAGTAGATGTTTTAGGTGTTTGGATCAACACTCGGTAAAAGTACTACTTGTCAAATATACAATCATATAACTGCCTCTCAGGTATCGGTGTGTAGGGAAGACAACTCTGGGTAAACCTAGTGATCTTTTACAAACAAAATCCGTCCTTACTTATAGTTAAACTTGACACCAGAATGGGTCGATACAAGATTGTGTTCTATGAGAGGTCTGAGACCTGTGTTCTATTACATTTCTGATTTCTATACGAGGTCAGGGTTATATTATTGGTATGTTCCATTGGCGCTCTGTGTTTTACGATGGTACACGTAATTTAATCGTACTATAGTCGGCGTGTTATCACTTCGTCCCCATTGTGATTATCCTCACGAATGACAAATCTACTGTACATAATAAAAATAAATCAAATATAATAATAATAATAATAAGTTATTTTATTCAAGTGTCACATATTGATCTACATATAAAACAGGTAAAATGTACATAAAATTATATCAATATCCAGCCAAAGTTAATAGACTTATGAAACACTAAAAAGACAGAAAATATACATTAAAAACAGTTGTCAATTTTTAAAAAAGCTCAATGTTTGTTAGCTTATTTTAGCTTATTATACATTATAACCACGCATTCCTGTCAAAGCTAGTTTGACTTATGATACTTAAAAAGGCAATATTATATAAACCTTGGAATAAGTTTCACCAGATATTTGTCAGCCTATTATATCATATAGTTTTAAGTTATTTCAATATACATTGTTGTCATAGCAAATTATGACTTATGAGACTCCAAGGTGCAATAAAATACAAAAGAACAAGTGTCATCGCATTTTGTGAGAACAATACTCATAACAACTTTCCATAAGTTATTCTAGCACATTGATGTCCAAGTTAGTTAGACTTCTGCAACTCCAAAAGGCAATAATGTATATTAAAACAATATAAATATCAATATTTTTGTCAGCTTACTATAGCTACTGTTACACATTGGTGTCAAAGTAAAAGATTTTATAACACTGTTACACATTGGTGTCAAAGTAAATTTGACTTTAGAGACTCCAACTGTACATGTATGATGGCGATGGTACATGTACAATGTCGATAGTACAATGAACTGCAATCGTAAACTCGTTCTTGTAAACCCTTTTTATTTTACTTCGTATCTGATGCTATATGTTTTAATGGCATCTTAGTAAACGGATCACGTAGGCTTTGCCAAGTGTGAATAAAGACCAACTAAAAATTGTAGGATATCAAGATATGATCCGTGAAACCTACGTTTGTGATATCACGTGACCAGATGACAATTCTCGGTGTCGCACCCACTTTGCGTCAATCCGAGATTCCGCGCTTTTCGATCTCCGCGGACCAACGGGCGTCAAGCGCACTCTTCACTTGATAGGCAGTACAGTATAACACGGTCGGTAGTGCTGGCGATATAAGGACACAGGGGATCACACGGTGACACGTGACTGATTTAACCAGCGATGTCAAGACCCAGGGTAAACATTCGACTGGTAGTGCTAGCGATACTAGGACCAAGGTTTAATACACATCAGAACTACGTACACTAGCTTGACATGTTCTGTCTGATATATATATATATATATATATATATATATATGAAGATCAAGAGGAAACCCTAGAGAGCAAAGAGTATGTAAAAAAATGTCTTGTTCTAGAAGATGAAGAACGGCTCTTCTTTAGGTGTGGCTATAATGCAGAGCTAAGAAAGGGCTATTTAAGTAAATGTATTAAAAACTATTCTATACTAGACACACATACACATATTTTATCTTCTGACAATATGCAACTTATACTTGACTCATGCTTATGCATAAAACAGTCACTCGAACTGATGAGTGTGGACCTGGCCCCATGTAAGTTTATAAATTGTAAACTATTGTAGTTTCTTTGTATATTTGTTGTTTCGTTATTTTTCAAATTACTTTGTTACGTACTATAAAAGAACAATAACATTTTTGAAAATTGAATCAAAGCGGTTACACCCTTGTCCGTAATGACTATTTAGAAAATATATGATGATATAGAAATAGTCAAAACATCCTCTTCAGGGTTTCTGAGAGAAAATTACGCTCCGGCTTAGGTGTGCATTATAATAACTTAATCATTTCTTGTTTGCCGGAGCATGGCCACATATTTTCATGCACGGATGAAAAATATACTCACTTTTGGAACCATCTTTTGTCTCACAAGGATTTTGAGGCTGAAAACAAAACGTGTCGACAAAACGTGTTACATTTACAAAACAGCGTTTCAAAAGATGGTCGCAAACAGGATCTCATAGGGAGTTACGCTAATTTTTGAGTGATGTGAAGGTCGATGTTTCTGATTGTGCTCCCTAGTGTACATTGTTTTAACTACCACTGCTCTCGCTTTGGGGACGTGACATTGCTTTGATTTGACCTATAATTTGGCGAACGAAAATGTTATAGATCTCAAACATGTCTTGAAATTCTTCCATAAGGAGCTTCACGGTCTGAATTAAAGTGTTTGAAGTCAACGTTCAGGATACGCCATGAATGAAAGTACTTTAGAGAATTATTTTTCGACATTTTGACTAAAATTCAAACCAGATAGTATCATATGGTTGTAGAAAATGTTTAAGATAGACTTTGAAATTATTTGAAAAAATCTTAAAAAGAACTGCTGTTTTAGAATTTCCCCGACGTGCTAGATCAGTTTACTGTTAAACATGTTATCAAAGACGTGTTGACTGTTGCCCGTAACTATCATTATTAAAAGTCTCATAAATCTTATTCAAAGTTTGCAAACAATTCTAATCGTACACGAGCCAGCGTCATACATCATCAGAGCGAGGCATTCTAACGAGCGATGTATTATTTCACTTAAGGCAAAACGTCTCACTAGAGGAAATGAACCTAAATTACTGCAATTTTGAAATTATGGACGGAAACACTCCATACCATCAATGAAGTTCCTTTTGAATGTCTAGAATACTCAATATACAAAATTACAGGAACAATACATCTGGGTTTGAATCAATATTTTATCGAGACGGAGACACTCGTTTGATCGCGACATAGTGTCTATCTTGTACTGAGGTAAAGAACACCTTACACAACGGTGCAAAATAAAGAGGACAGAAAAATCGTATTCCAGTGCACTAAGTGTGTATAACAATAACGTACATTGTGTAACAAAAACCCCACCAGTTCACGTAGCATGTATTAAATCACACATGAAACAAAACGTCTACTTGGTTTTACAATAACCATATATATACAATATATATACAAGTCTTATTCAATATTACTCGATCATTTTGAGATTTCTTTCGCTATCAATAAATGATGAACCTTTTGAACGCCACGGCACATTTTGAGCTGCAGTATAAAACGTTCTTCTCTTTTTCAAGTATGCAGGCAGGCTAAAATGGCGTATGTAGGGGTATATATCACGGAAATGGATGATATCATGTTTTTAATAAAAGCACTGGAGTCCAATTATTTTTACTTACACAATATGGAAATCGATAGGAAAGAATATTACCGCCTAGGAAGTTTGAAAAGCCTGTTCCAGTGGAAGTCCCGTTTCTCTCGTGAATATCAAATCTCGCGTGAGAAAAGGAGTTTTGTCCTAGAGTCATCACCTTTCCAATCCGATTGCTGTCTTTGAAGTGTTTTTTGTTTTGTTTTGTTATGCAGATAAATCTTCCAACACATTACGTCAGTTACATTTCCCCTGGAATGATTTGATTCTACTACAATAGATACAGAACGTACATCAACATGTTCTGTCTGATATGTATCTAACCGAGTTGAAATACATGAGGATTTTCAAGTAAAATCGATATTTTTTTCCAAAGTTAACATTGTTAAAGTTAGAATAGATTCTTTCACTTTATTGTTGGTTAGTAAATCCCAAGCGTGCATATCAATGTCGTATTTCTATATCTTCGCGTTAATTATACTGTTATGTGCATTTTTAGGTTCGTCAATCAACGTACAGTTCTCTAGTCAAAGAGAAACGAATCTATTGTGTATGGACCATAAAATATTCATGTAGATTTTAAAAAAACAACAACAAACGAAATGAAATGAATCACGGCCTACGCTTGATTCCGATATTGTCACAATCATCGCATGAAGTACCATTACTCTGCTGGAAAGACACGAAGAAAACATCCTCTTTGTGCCTTTTTATCTCAAGTTTGAGATGATAGATAAACGCCACATTTGTTAGCTTCATTGCTGAATCTTGCTGTCAAATATCAAACATTCCGTTAAGTATTATCATAGAACCTGGTGCTCACGGTTTATCGTTTTACCTAATACATTTATACGTCAGATGTCAATCAACGCGGACGTCAAAACTCATCTCTGGGGTATGTGTAGCGGTACAGAACGTTCTGATAGCATTTACTACTGTCTATTGATTTCTATATATATGTTGTTACATTTTTTTGTGTTGTAAACAAATACTGTGAAAGGGTTTTGACACCCTGACATACAAAAGGTTTCTTCCTAAATAAAAGTATCAGGAAGATGCAATATGATCGTC